ATGTGGCTCGTGGACAGAAACTACATTATGCTGGGTGCTTTGGTCTTGGGAAAACATCACATTTTGCTTTGTATCCTAACAATAATAGATAGCCTTTGGGAGCTTTTGTAGTAAGTGTGTGTTTATTATGTAAAACACTGTTAAGCATTTTATATAAATTATACATTTTATCCTTGACAAATCATGAGAATGAGGTAGTATTTTCCAGAAACTAGTTTAGAGAAGTTATTCTGCTTCTCAAAAATACTAGCACCAGCCACTACCCTCTTTTCATAGGTCTGAGTTTCAAGTCTATAGTGTCCTTCTCTAAGCTATATTCTATTAATACGAAACTCTTACCTTTATACCTACAACCCTGGAGCTGGCACCTTTATCTTTAGTTGCCTTTTTAATGATCCCTTAGTGTTTTAAGAAGTTTATTATTTTCAGTTCTTCAATTCTTTAGTATCTAGTTAACCATCTTCCAATAATACTAATTTATTAAAATAACAAGTATACTTTCTGTCTTCTAATTCAGAAATTGGTCGTTGAATTTGTCCCAGGAAGTAGACTGTCAAATACTGGGTTTCAGAATTGGCTTGGTCATATCCTTAGGAACAGTGCTTAGGTTGAATGCCTTAAATCTATCTGAACCAGATGGTGGGAGATAAATGCTAATAAAGTTTCTAGGGGTCTAATGTTTAACATCTTACTGGGCATTGGTAGATATTAAATACCTAATCTCTGGTCTCTAGTGACTGTGAGCTCAGTTACCCATTACTAACTGAATGCTAGCTCACTCCTCAAGTTGTAAAATTAAGATGCAAAAACAGCATTATATCATCAAGTAGAAAGAGATCAAACTTAGAAGGCCCAGAGGCACAAAGAAATTGCATTAACTGATAAGTCAATTTCAACAACTACTGCTGCCCAATTGCCTTTCTCCCTCACCTCTAGCTCCACAGGGAGTTCCTTATGAGACAGGGAAGAGACAGGATACAAGCATCATAATTGGTTTTCCAAAAAAAAGTAGAGATATAAGCAGTATAGTTAGAGCAGGAGAGATTCCATCTTAAGGCTAAGATTCCATTTTAAAAACCAGGAAGTTAGGAAGTAAGATTCCTAACATATTCTTTAGCAGACAATAACTCATAAAACAATAACAGACAATAAATCAACCCACTTTGGGTGCAGGGCAGATGGTCTTGATTGATGTCTCTGCAGAGGAAGCCACTATCCTGGGGAGGAACCAGATCAATAAATGTCTTGTGTTGTTTATTTTGCAGAATTAGTTGGAGGATTGATAAGAGACAGGAGACATAGTGTCTCTCACCAGAGATAAGCATCTTGAGACCACTGGACAAGTCTACACCCTTTCCTGAAAAAATGCTTAAAAGACAAAAGCCCAGCCTTGTACCATGCCACCTTTCTGAGAACACCCACACTTTCCTTTTTTAAGTGCGTAACTTTAAATAAATCTTTCTCACTTCTCAAACTTACTTGGTTTTTGTCTATCTGCACTTTTCCAGTGGTTAGCATCTTTGTTCCTTTGCTATTTCATTTTATTTCCAAGTCTTCGCTTAGTCTCTGCTTTACTCCTGATAAGTAGGGAGGTGCTGCTGAGAGCTCGGATTTGGGCCTGTGAGTTCCCGTAGCCCGGGGGACCCTGTGCAGCGACCTTCCTCACCGTCCCTCTGCGCCTCTGCATTTTCCTGCTCTCAACTTCCTGCAAGGCTGCTGCCATTTATTTCTACTCTCGATTTCATGAATTCCTTCCTCACCTACACTTGTCCGACCTGCTCGAGAATTCTTTCTTTTTCAGAGTTAAGAACCCTCCCCACTCCAGGTTGAAATTTCACCTGGTGCACAGGGACAGACCTGCTAGATGCATCTGCCCGACAGCACTTATAAGCAGTAGACTTAAAATTAAAAGTTTCATTTAAAATTAAAGTTTTAAGTAGACTTAAAATTAAAACTGAATATACAGTTGGTTTTGTATAATATGTTGGACAACTTAAGTGAAAGTCAGATTTTCAGCCCCAATTTAGTGAAGTGTTATGGTCGGGTATGGTTAATATTATATTTATGGTCTTGAAGGACAGTAGTATGGAGAAACTCCCATTGGAAGAAATGCAAGCAGTGTATTTCTTGTCCACTTTTTGGCTGGAAGCATGGATATATATTGATTCTTAAACAGTGACTAATGGTTTGGTTAGAATGAACAGAATTGGAAGCCTAATGACAAAGAATTCCTGGAGGAGAATTCTGATGATGGGTCTCCTCAGATTATGAAAATTTAGGTGTCCTATGTGAATGCACACCATAGGGCAGCCAGTACAGGTGAAACTTTAGTAATCAGGTAGACAAATGACAAATTCTGTGCATGTTAACCTCTTTTCCCAGCCGCCCCAGGGCTTACTGAGTGGGTGCCTATACAAAATGACAAGGGTGGCTAAACAACATGGAACTCCTCACAAGGTTTAATCTGACTATCAGCACTCATAAGCTCCTACGGTGAGCCACAGATACGGCAGTTTACTGTGGGGATCAGAAAACCATGTAGAGACAGGTTAATTATATTGAGGCTTTTCCATTATGCAGGAAGTAGAATTTTTGACCTCATTAGAATCAACATGTATTATGGATATGCATTTTTTCCAGCTATAATACTTTATCCATGGATTTAAGAAATGCTTTATCACAGTCATGGTATTCTGCACAACATTGTGTCTGATCAAGGAATTTATTTTACAGTTAAACAAATGAGGCAATGGGCTCATGACCATAGATTCACTGATCTTACCACATACTGATCACCCATAAACGGTTGGTCTACTAGAATGGTAGAATGGCATACTGAAAACTCCTTTATGGCTTTTTTGGGAGATAAGATACTCAGTATCTGAATTAAGGCATCAAGATGTAAAAGTGGGAATAGATCCTCTTACTGTTATACCTAGTAAGTCACTCATACAGTTTTGTTTTCCATCCCCACCACTTTGAGCTCTGCTGGGTGAAAGATCGTTGTGCCTGAGGAAGGAATGCTTCCCTCAGAGTAGACCATATTTTCATTAAATTGGAAATTAAGACTGACTACTGGCCATTTAAGTTTGACTAGAGAATATGCATAACTACAGCTCCTCTAGGTTATATCTGTGAAGACAATTCTAACAGAAACCAATGAGAATTAAGGAGAATTTGCCTTATCTAGCAAATGTGTAAATACTAAGCTTGAATAGCATGGCAGAAAATGACTAAAATGTTTCAGCTGAGAGCATGTAGTACTTGGATTTTATTGTGCCAAATTATATTACAAGACAATATAAGCTGCATTTTTCACTCTTATGCCCTTCTACTTTCCTAATATTAGGAAATCATACAAATAGTACTTAACACTCAGGTTTGTCTTATAAGGACTGATAGAGATAAAAAGATGCTCAAGATAATGGGTAGGAAAAAAGTTGCTTAAAACATACAATGAAGACAGTTCAGTGAATAAATTGGGTATATACATGAGAATGAATTGAGGCTATGATCCAATGTAGAGGCAGCCAAAGGTTAACAATTAGTTCTTTAGTACTGTCTGTGTGTAGGTATGTCTTCAATGATGTCTCTTTTGTTCCCAATTTACACTGTATGATCAAATTAGATTGCAAATTATACTATTGCCAATATATTTTTTATTTTGTTAGATTAATAGAGATACTCTAGTGTATTGTGTAGAAATAATTTTGTGTTGTGTAGTGTCATTTAATAAATGAGCAGAAATCAAATTGATCTTTGAATCCTTAAGTAAGTCCAAAATAAGGTGGTGTTATCTTGAGGAACATTAATTTATATTTCTGAGTCTCATTTTCTTATTCACGATTTGGGAATACTACAAACCATTTAAACTAATGCTTTGTAAGCTCCTCATATAACGTAATGGCTTAAAGTAGGTAGTTAAGGATGACAAGTACATTGTTTTTATTCTGCCCTTTGTTGTATTTTGTTCTCATATTAAGAAAAATAAAAACTATGTATGTGCCATATTTTTTACTTAGGACTTTTATTGATGATTCTTACAACTGAATTTCAATCCACTTAATTTATAATTCTGGAAGAAAGAAGGTGAATTTTAGTTATAGTTTGAGACTTTAAAAAAATGTTTTTAATGACAGAAGATAGTTAAATATACCATGATCAGTAAGTGTTATGGGTATTTGAATAGAAAAATTGGCTTCTATATATTCATTAAAATATATTTGCTGAGTTTTTATTACATATTAATCACTGTACTAAATACCGTTATTTCAAGAATTAATCAGGTAAGGCATGCCCCTGTCCTTAAGGACCTTGCATTTTAAGACTTTTACACACATGGTTAATAATAGTTTAAAGCATAAATAGTAGTCCTTGAGACTGAGAAACCAAGGGAAATATCACTAGGTTTTCCTTTTTTCCTTATTGAGTTAATGGAAACCAAAGATGGGAAAACCTCCACTATTATTCCTTATGTACTTTACCACTGTTATTTCATTATCTTCATTTTTTTCCCTTACTACTTCCCATTAGCATTTGGATAGGAAGCTAAGTTAAAGAAAAAGTAATAATTCAGTGGCCTCTTGACAAGAGGTTAAGCAAAATGTTTGAAGGAAGGAGTCCTGTTATAGAAACACTTTCCAAATGGATTGAGGAAAAATTCAAGAGAAGTTTATTAAGATGCTATTCATCAGGATGGTTTGTATAGCTTTATTGAGTGAATTTCAGACTCACGTTTAACATAGTTAAAGGTATGGGAAGACTGATTAGATAATTCCCTTGTAAAGAAAGATCATTAGTGTTTGGATTTTAGGGACTATTTCATGGTGTTTTCCTGGTTGATTCATAAATGTCTAAATTCCTTGAATTATGTTAACCCTATTCCTGTACTGAAGATAGTCATAACATATAGATATAAACTGAATGCCTAGAATTTTCAACCTATTTTACATGGTCAGTATATTGTCAATTTGAAGTGCTTACAGTGAGGTTTCTGGGTATTAAATATTTCTCTTGGAATGCATGTAATAGCTTCTGAATCTCTTCATGGCATTTTTTATCTCTTTATTTCTCAGAGTATAAATGGCTGGATTTAGGAGAGGTGTAATAACAGAGTAAAACACAGCAAGAAACTTGTCCACCCAGGTGATGCTGAGTGGCCACACATAGATGAAGATGCAGGGCCCAAAGAAGAGTACCACCACTGTGATGTGGGCTGTACAGGTAGAGAGTGCCCTAGATGCACCAGATTTAGAGCTTTGGCGGACAGTGAGAAGAATGTATGTGTAGGATATCAGCAATAGCATAAAGCAGGTCATGACCAAAACCCCACTATCAGCATTCATTAATATTCCCAAGTTGTATGAATCTATGCAGGCATGCTTGATTACCAGAGGTATATCACAGAAGAAGCTGTCAATTTCCCTGGGGCCACAGAAAGGCAATTGTACAATCACATCCATTTGACTCATGGCATGCACAAAGCCAATGGTCCAGGAAATCACCACCAGCCCAATGCATTTTTGTAGGCTCATAATAGTTGAATAGTGAAGTGGTTTGCAGATGGCCACATAGCGGTCATAGGCCATTACCACCAATAGCACCATCTCACCCCCTCCAACAAAATGCACAAAGAGGATCTGGCACATGCAGCCTCCAAAGGAAATAGTCTTCTCCCTGAGAAAGTCTGTGATCATCTTAGGCGTGGTGACTGAAGAAAGCCACATATCAACAAAGGACAGGTTGGCCAACAAGAAGTACATGGGAGAATGGAGATGGGGGTCAGTGATTATTAAGATCGTGACGCAATATTTCCAGATACAATGATCAAGTAAAGCATAAAAAATATCATTAGGAATAAGACCTGCATATTCCATGAGTGGCAAAGTCCCAGAAGCACAAACTCTGACACTACAGACAGATTTCCTTCATCCATTTCAGTCAGTACATCCTCTAAAATAACTTAGAGAGAAAGATAGATTGTCAGTGGGATAGGAAAGGGTACTTAAATTTTGTGATCATCTTAGGCGTGGTGACTGAAGAAAGCCACATATCAACAAAGGACAGGTTGGCCAACAAGAAGTACATGGGAGAATGGAGATGGGGGTCAGTGATTATTAAGATCGTGACGCAATATTTCCAGATACAATGATCAAGTAAAGCATAAAAAATATCATTAGGAATAAGACCTGCATATTCCATGAGTGGCAAAGTCCCAGAAGCACAAACTCTGACACTACAGACAGATTTCCTTCATCCATTTCAGTCAGTACATCCTCTAAAATAACTTAGAGAGAAAGATAGATTGTCAGTGGGATAGGAAAGGGTACTTAAATTTTAGAATTTGATTCAGATCTCTGTTTCACTGAAACTTAATTTTTAAAATTAGCATCTGTATCTGAAGGTGAAAAGTATAATCAGGAACACAAATATTGGCAAATTATTCATGGCTTTATGCCCAAAAGAGAAACTAAATGTCTATGACTGGCTTTCCAACAAGCAGAGTCTAAGATGGGATTTTTAAGCAAATGATTAATTGAGAGGGTACACTCAAGGGAGTGGGGAAAGCAGTACAGCAAAAGGAAGGGCTAAATAGACTGTGGTACCCTGAAACCAGATTCAGTCTGCCACTCCAGTAAAAACAATCTGTGTGGGGCACCAGCAACAATCGTCATACTTAGTAACTAAAATTGTAGTCATCTGCTTAGGAAGATTATGGTGAACAGGTATTGAAATTCAGAACAAATGACATGGTGCAGAACTACACTTTCTCTGTATGTGTACATAATGATTCCTACAAGCTTCAGCTGAAACTCTTTTATAAGACACCATAAAACTAAATTTTTAGCTTATTACTCTAAGATATATATTTTTATCTAAGATATGAATATATATATATATATATATATTTAGGAGAGAAGCTGTATAGAAGGTCTTATAATAAATACCTTGGCATGATAATTCAAATGTAAAATCAAGCACATAATTCATCATTAAAATAATAATTAAACATAATTAAATAAAATAAATGTATTAGAAAAAAAATGTCAGTGGAGAGTTATGTGAGAAAGGGATTGATCAAAGTGGAAGGCAATTTAGCCTTAGATTCTGACTTGAAGTCTGAATGGAAGCGCCTTGTAAATCAAGTTTATCAATAGGAAATATTTACTTTCAATTACATCAGTGGATTCTAGGAAACCCTTAGGTTTTGTGATATTGCCATATCTTCTCTAAATTGAGACTAAATAGTAGGCATGTGAAAGCAAAATATATCTTTGTTACTGCTGAGTGAACATGAAGTTAAAACTTCAGAGATTGCTATTTATTTACCTCTAAATGTAATAATGATGTTGTTGATATTCTTCCTTAAGTAAATTGAGAAGTCCTCTCAAGCTGGGCGGCTGAAAGATAAGCATATCTCTCTTCCCCCTTTATTATTTATTTCCCATGGCTTTGTTTTGCTTTTTTTTTGTGTATCATCATCTTTTATCTTCTGAAATCTCAAGGGTGGTGCCAAGAAGAGCAGGTGAACAATGAAAGTCATTACCTTATGAGTACGTTTTCCCTTTCCTTATACTGAGAACTCAGAGGCATAGGTTAAGGATGGAAGTAAGGTAGTCCTAAAGAAATTAGATAACAAACATATTACTGTGGAAAAGGAGGTATGTGTTAATAGTCTTGCAACTTACACATAAGCGTATCCTCCATAATAGAGATTCGTTTAATTTCTGAAAAAATATCCCAGTATTACACCTAAAAGACTTATGTCCCCCAAGAAACTTGAAGATTTTGACCTTTACCTTAATTTTTATCAACAAACTTTTCCAAGATTAGTTTTCAATAACTAGTTCTGTATCTGTTGGAATAAATGGCATAGAAGGTAGCTAATAGCAGAAGCAGGGTTTCAACTATGTTTGAGAATGGAATTTAATAAAAGATAAGTAAGTACATTGCTAGGAAACAGTTTACCAATGAGAAACCATATTGTTTTTCATTAGTTTTGAAATAGTTAATATTTTGTAACATTGGTGCATTGTGTTATTTATCAATATAAATCCAAAATTTAGGATTATATTATCAATAATTTAAATAATAATTTTATATTATAAAACAATTTAGTAATTAAGTGATATTAATATTAATTTATCAATAATAGTTATTCTACTAATTTGTAGAATGACCATAGACCGTTTTAATTAGATCTGGTCTGAATCTGAATCTATTGTGTATTGACCTTATGACCTAGAGCTAAACCTATTTCTGTTTCCATTTCTTCATTTGTAAAAAGCACTCAATCTAATGGAATTGTTTGAAGATGAGTCAGAAAATAAACAGAAAGCACTTAAACTTTTCTGATACTCAGTGCATGTTTAATAAATATTACTTTCTTTATTCATTAAAAGGCAACTGAGAGCAGTTCAATTTCCAAAGTTAGTGAATAGCTACCTTCTCCAAGCAAAATGTATAGAACCACCTTTAAAATACCTGCTTCTTACATTTTCTCTAAATTAACAAGCACATACTTAGCAATCCTGTCGTATGTACAGGTGCACAATAAGGATCAGACATGCTGCTGGCTTTCTAGTAGCTTAATCACTTTTTCACCTTTCACTTCTGCTTTTGTTCAAGAAGGGTTATTAACATTTTAAGAAGATTTATAAGAGGTAATCTCACATTTTTTTAAAGCAACTATGGAATTCTTACAGGTAACTCAGCCAGAATTTTCACCAAAGAGAGTAATGTTAACTTTGGGATTAGTGTAACTGAAAACTTTGGGAAAGGAGATAAATTGAGTTGCTCTTTTAGGACTATGAGACTATAGAAACATTTTCCATCCCCTCTAGATGCAATGTCCTTCTATTAAGCTTTTTAAAATTGTAATGTACTGTGAGATTCTCAACATTTATATTTTTACATGGAAAAATTTGGACGTAGAGAATTTAATAGATTGCCCTAGATACACACTAAGGTGAGGTTCACAGGGAAATTGTCCAATGTCCTCCCACTATTTCCTTTCTGGTTATGAGTTTTAATCCTATTTCCATAGTAATGTAATATCATACCACTTTTCACTGGATATACAATCCTTTTTACCTCTATCTCTATGTTAAAAGTTATCTTAGCATATAATATTCATTTTATATGAAAACCTTTATCTTCTTAAATGGCATGCTCCATTTGAGTCACAATAGCAGGAAACTGCTAATATCAAGTAGCTGTCAAAGAAGTGTGATCTCCCAGAGCAGACCTGAGAGCGTCTCTGAGGCACTGCATTGTGTGGCACACACACTGCTGTTAAAGAGACCCTAGAAACTCCAATAGGAAGAAGACAGGAAGAGAAAACCTGGAAATGACCTTCTTAAAAGTCAGAAGTCAACTCTAAGCAAGTGGGAATGCATGATACAGGAACAATGAAATACTTAAAAATTGTTTTATAGAAGAGATTCACAGAGAACAACTGATAACTTACTAAACACATATTTTGTCTAATATCAGATTATTTTTTCTTTGTTTCTTCTGCTGTATGTTCAAGATGACGTCCATTGTTGGGTGGGGACAGTATGAAGAGCTTTCCCTCAGCTTGACATATATTCACTACTGGAAAGAACCCCTTGGGTGAAATTCTCCTATTCTATGCTCTGGGCAAAACAAGATCATGTAAATGATTTACATTGGGCACTCTTGGGAACTTCTTTGTCAAGAGTGATGACTTTTGCATGTTCTGGAAAACAATAACAGGGTGACAAGAAATATCACATATAAAATAGCAGTGCATTAAATAAACACTAGTGAAGTTTTAAATTATTTTTCATTTAACTTAAAAGTACCAAGGAGGTGTCCTCTGAAGTCTTAATCTCTAACTAGGTCTATATCATCAAATTCAGTTAAGGTTTTTGTTCCAGTTGCAAGAGAAATCATATCCTGACCTGACCACTGTGATACATGAGTACCAACAGAAAACCCTAAGGTGCATGGAATGCCCCAGTGCATGTCAGTGTTGTCTAAATACGCAGTTAATCTTGGTCAGCTGACTGATTGGTTTCAAAATTATCTGTGATTACCTGAGGTTCTGACAGTTATGCACAGGGTGTCAAATTATTAAGATATCTTTAGATTTTCTTTAAAAGGACATAGATACTAGTTTAAGGTATATTTATTTTGACCTCTTAGATTTTTTTTCTTTTTTTATTAAGGTGTCATTGGTATACAATCTTACTGTATATCAAAGTTTCACATGAGCAACATTGTGGTTACAACATTCACCCATATTATCAAGTCCCCCCACCAACCCCCTTGCAATCACTGTCCATCAATGTAGTAAGATGCTATAGATTAACCTATTAGACTTTTAAAACAACTTTATTGTGATATAATTAACATATATCAAACTGCACATATCTACAGTGTACAGTTTAAGTTTTGACATATGTATCCAACCATGAAAATATCACAATACAGTGAACGTACCTACCATCCCCCCAAAGTTCCTTGACCATCCCCCCTTTCCATCCCTTCACACATTCTTCCTCCCCAGATGACTGCCAATCTGTTTTATCTATGGCTGTATGTTAGTTTGCATTCTCTAGAGTTTTATAGAAGTTGAGTCATGTAGTATCTACTCTTTTTTGTCTGACTTCTTTCACTCAGCATATTTATTTAGATAATTTTCATGTTATTGTGTGTTTCAATAGTGCATCATTTTTATTGTTCAGTAGTATTCCATAGTATGTATGTGTCACAATTTGTTAGTTGATTCATCTGCTAAGGGACATTTGAGTTATTTTCAGTTTTTGGCTATTGCAAATAAAGCTGCTATGAACATTTGTATATACATCTCTGTGTAACTTGAATCCTTTTAAATTTATGGAGACTTATGTTATGGCCCAGAATATGGTCTAACTTGGTAAATGTTCTGTGTGTATTTCAGAAGCATAA